GTGAGTTGGACCAATGGGGCCCTTCCATAGGGACTGAGAGAAGGCCTCCTTCCACCTGGCTCCTCAGCTCCACAGAGGAATTTCTCTTGTTACTAACTCACATTTAGAACCCAAGAAGGAAGGCAGCCAGGATGTGAGAGGGTAAGAAGCACCTGACCCACATCTTCCCAGTCTGTCCTTCTCACAAAGCAGTTGGTCCAGAGACTGGAGAGATGGCTCAGCGGTTAAGAGCACTGGCTGCTCTTCCAGAGGACTCAGGTTGGATTCCAGCACCCACATGGTGGCTGACAACTGTCTGTAACTCCAGCTCCAGGGGCTCCAACGCCCTTTTCTGGCCTCCATGGGCTTTGAATGACATGGGTGCACTTACATACATGCAGGCAATACACTCATACACATAAAAAAAAATTAAAATGTCAGAAAGAATTTACAAATGATTCGATTTTACAGACACAGAAACCATAACCCTGAGAAGTGGCAACTCCATAACCACAGCTGATTTTCATTGAGCCAAAATCAAAACAAAAGTGTCCGTTCAGTTTTATTTACACCTTTTAGAACTTTTTGAGACAGGGCCTCCCTGTAGCCCCAACTGACTTGGAACTCACTAGGTAGACCAGGCTAGCCTTGATCTCACAGATCCACCTGCCACTGCCTCCAAAGTGCTGGGTAAAGGCAAGCATCAACATGCCTGGCCCTTTTAGAACTTTGCAACTGCAAGTATTTATGGGATGGTAAACAGAATAACTTAAAAGGAAACCAGAACATATAGAAAAGGACGAAAAGGGAAGAGTTAATAACATTAGCCATTTTCCCCTGATTAATGTTAATACCTATTAACTGATTTTAATGGTATAACTTTTATTTAAAAAGTAGGGTGATATATTTCCCTAAAATTTTAAAGATGTTCCTTTCATTATTATAATGTACATAAAGGTATTTAGTCTTTTAACAGAGAATCTTTGACATATAAACTACATTTGTAATCTAAATGCTTTCTTAAACAGATCATAGAAAATATTAAAAGTTAATGTGTCCTACTGGGCCGGAGTACAGTTAACTTTATGACCATGAATATTACAGCTCAAAAGCAATGACTGCTTAAAATTAATAATGGAAGAATGGGAAGGGAACAGAGAACTGAAGGTCTAGTCACTCTTGACCCTGTCTTCCTTTCTCCTACTGCTCCCATCCCTACAACCCAGGAATTCCCAAGGACTCTCTGCCCCCTGCCTCTGTACTCCCTCCACTTTTCTCTGCCTGCTCAGATCATTGTCATCTCTACCCTGCATTCTCACTGGACTATGAAGCAATCCCCC